CAGATCCCAATCGGACGGCCAACACCTCCTCCCAGCCCCCCCGCCCCGATGGCCAGCAGAGAACGGGGGGGTGTGAAGACCCCAAACCTCCCTCCTCTTGCTCATGTGTAGTGTTGCTGCGTGTTGTTCTACAATGCATTTAAAACACGGGAGAGATTTAAAATTGAGAGGTGGGCTCTAGCGCCAGAGGTGGGGTTGAAAGAATAATTATATGTTTTAAAATATAAGCAGCAATACATTGCGCATATATATAGTATTATAATACACAAGACAGCGATTTATGTGGCTGATTTCTCAGAAACACGTTAAACAATAAATGAAACCAAGCCAGATGACGCCAGACCGGGCTTTTACTTTGAAGTGAGTGGATCAAAGCTTTATCAAAGCAGAAATACTCATCTTAATGGGGAGGTTAAAGGTCACCTGTTGAGCGAGTGAGAGGGAGGAGTAATGGGAGAGTAATTTCAGGTTGAGTGAGGACTGGTTTGAGAGGAGGGAGAGAGGAGGAGAGAAGGCTTTTATTGTGGTAGAACGAGGGAGGGTAGACAGAGGGAGAGAGGGAGGTATCTGAGTTTGAACTTGTGTTTTCCTTTAGTCTTTGTCATCTCAGATTCACAAACGCAGACACACACATACACACAAATATACTGGGTGTCATATTGAGAGACGCCGGGCGAGTGAGGACAACATGCTCTGCTTAAAAGGTAAGAGAGAGAGATAGAGAGAGAGGGCATGAAGTTATGAAATGTGGGTCATTTTGTTCTGTATCTATCAACATTAACACACACACACACCGTTATCTTCATAACCTTTTTGCAGTGTGAGTGAGAAAGAGTGTGAGTGTGTGTGTGTGTGTGTGTTGGGGCACTGAAGAAGGTTGAGCAAGCTTTATTTTGAGCACAGAGAGAGAGAGAGAGAGAGATTAATGGAGGGAGTGAAGAGTTGACTAGATGCACTGTTTTCATGATTACAGCTGCAGGAGTCCTTTGTGCAAGTGTTACTATGGTTACTGCTCCTAATAGCACCGCTAGTATTTCAACTACCACAAGTACTTCTGATACTGTAAGTACTGATAATGCTGGTTCATCCAAGTTTTGGGTCAGAGACGTGTGCAGTCTTGAGTCTGGCACGTGTGTGTGTGTGTGTGTGTGTGTGTGCGTGCGTGCGTGCGTGCGTGCGTGTGTGTGTAAGTCTTTAATGACTGTCGGCCTGTCGGGGCAGGCTGAAGCATCGCATTGAGCCTCCATAACACAGCTGTCCTTCTCCTGCAGCTTCAGACGTGGCTGTGGAGCTTTCCTTAATGAAATCCTGCAAGCTGCACTTCCTCAAGCAAACAAAAACAAAAAGAGCACACATAAAATTTGCTAGAATGTTTATTGACTCATGATGTTTCAGTTTTAGCTACAAAACAAATTAGCAGTTAATGTTTAAATGTTTCACCCATGATCTTATTGTTCCTCTTTTTAAGATTGTTTGCTTTTATCTGTGGCCTCATTCTGTATCATTATAAGCTACATTTGCATATTAGAGCTCAATTCCATTTGTATTTGTACTCATGATGCATATTGAAGCAAATCTTGCAGTATTTAGTATTCGTATTAGATCGTATTTACATGTTTTGCAAGCTCAATATATTAATCATACCTGTGTGAAGTGGTTGAAAAAATAGGAAGACTTAGAAGCACAAAATATAACAACTGAATGCGCCAGGACAAGATTGATTGATTGATTGATTGAATCTTTATTTTGAACATGTTAAAAAAGTACAACAACATAGAATTAAAAGAGACAAATAAACAAAGCAAAACAAAAAGAAAACGAGCAACCACA